ATTTTGTTTGTCCCTGAATCCTGAAACAATCCAAATGAATATTTATGAATTGAAAGATTGAATTTTCAGTGACCTTTTATCATTTGGCATTGCTTCTTTTAAATTCTCCATGTTTAATGTTGTGAAGATAAAAATTTAACAGTTATTCAAAAATTTAACCAACTTTTTTTTTGACTATTTAAAAAAAATGATATTTAAAAAAAAATTTATATTTGCTTTTAACGTGTCAAAATTATTAAGATCTTGAAATTAATGAGGTTGAATATATCAAATCACAACTAAAAATTTCTATATCTGAAATTTCTGTTAAATATATTAATAAATGCAATCAATGTATAAAAAATCCACTGAAATATTTAAATCAATGTAAAATATTTATATGTCAAATGTTGTATCCTGCAAATATTTTTCCATTCTTGTCAGCAAACGTTATATTGATAAGTAGGAAGGTTATTTATTTAAAATAAATATTTTATTTTTAGAAATTGTTAATTTTATTGGGAACACAGGCCAAAAAAATAATAAACTTAAATTTCATTAACAATCACCCTCATAAGAAGTATTCATTAAATATTTTTCTTGTGTGTCCAATATTATTTTCAACCCAACATATGGATAATAAACAAAGCTGAAATAATTTTTAAAAAGAAATTTCAATTATTCATTATTTTGTATGTATGAATATTTTTTAATTAGATTATTTTTTTGCAAAATTTTCAAGAAAGCAGATTGAAATCTATTCAACAAAAGAAAACAAGTTTAAATGAACATTTTTTTGTTCTTTAACAAACTCACTGTTTATTTTCATTGTAACATTGTTAATCAGAAAATAAGCATGTATAATCTTTTTGTTATTTTAAACAATCATTCAAAAATATATTACCTATCATGTTTGTTTTATTCATTTTTTATTTATCATAGCAAAACATTCATCAAGAGAAAACATTATCAAAATTATATTAGTCTAATACTAATAAAATTTTTTACTAATCAACCCAAAACCAACCATCAGAATTGGAAGACATATTTCATTTTTTGAAGGGATTTTATTTTTGATTTTTTTTCCTTTTTTTTTTTGTATGGGAATTTTGGTTCTTTTATGGTGGGAAATTTCAAAAAATAAGATTTATATCCGAATATATATGCATAAATACATGTTATTATAAAATGTATATTTTCATTTTTCATGAATATAAACATATATATATAATGAGTTTCTGATAAATATGTTTGTGTAGATATACATTTGTATCCAAGCCTCTTATAGTCATATTCAAAAAATGAGTTTTTTAAATTTATGCTATGCATCAGATTACATCAATAAAGTTTAATATATATATATATATATATATATATATATAAACAAGTTTCCATCTAATGAAAAAAGCTGAAATCCACTGGTTGAGTTTTTTATAATTTTTTCATTTGTTCATATAATTTTTTTTTTTTTTATACAAACTAAATTATATAAAATTGTCCAAATGTTTTCTCAGACAGCTCAACTAAACCAATAGTGAACCTTATTGAAGGATATATTTTATTTTACTTTTTTTACTACTGAAAATATATGGATTGTTTTATCTATGTATCTAGAGTTTTAGGAATGTTTTGTTTTTTCGGAACATGTTTGGCATATTTTTATATATTCATTTATGTCCTTTTGAAAAAAATTATACAAAAAAAAACAAGTTTTTTGTCAGTCAGTCATTTTCAAAGAAAAATGCGTAAAGAGGGAAATTTGCTGCCCAAATTTACAATATATATATATATATAGCTTTGCTTTTGGTTAATACAACCTAAAATCTTGTCATCACCAAAAATATCACCAGCAACAATAACAAGAAAATCCATTTGATAGCAATGGGAAAAAATTGTGGAAAAATTAGTGAAATATTCTGGTTCAATTCAAAATTTCAATCTTTGAACCCACACATGCCATTTTGAAATTTATTGTAACATCCCACTGAATCCAGTTAAGGAATCTATATTCGTATATTTGGAAAAAGTAATTTGATTTTTATTAAGTTTTTAAACCAAATCTTTTCTGAAAACAAGAAATGGAGTGGATATTTATTTAATTTGGGTAGAAGATAACTGAAAACATAGGATTTGGCAGATGGTCAGCTGATTGCAGAAAATGATTTAGAATAAATTTGAGAGTCTAACAAGCATTTAATGGAAAACATAATTTATTTGATTAAAAAGTTGGATCCGACAAACATGAGGATGAATAAATAAATTATTGACTATTTATAGACTAGAATTTATTAAAGCCAAAAAACTAAAAAAACTTCCATTTTCAAAAAATTTTCATCATTATTACTGTCAAAACAATTTTGCTTTTTTTTTTTTTAAATCCACAACCATAAATCTTTATGTCAACAGCATCATAGAAATTTCTGATTTAAAAGAAAGGGAAAAAGAAGAGGCTGAAGTTAATGGATCTTTACTTCCTACCAAATTAAATTCTGGATGCATTTAAAAAAAAATTTGTTCCTATGCCTGAATTTTTCCCTCCCATTTCTCTGAAAAGATTAATTGAGTAAAAACATGGAAAATAAATTTGCTTTGAATTTATTCAAAACATGGATGGCTAATTCAAACATAGAAATTCTTTTTCATTTTTTAATGGCATTTTCCTTCAGGCAGTGGGTGATCATATTCTTCACATTTTTATCTTTATTATTCAATAATCTGTATTTTGGTAAGATAGTGAAATTACATTTTCTATATATTTTAATTCATATTTTTTCCTTCTCCCAGACTTGTTGCTTTATAAGGCTTGAGAGCCTAGTCTGGAGCAATAGTTAACTCATAGCTATGGTGATGGTTTCATGCATTTCCTTTATTTCCCAAAGTCATCTTTTGGATCATGTCTCTTCCATTTTCCATGCAAATTAAAAGTATTTCAGTAGCACATCCCTAGGTTTTCTGTTTTGGTCTAAATAATCAAATTTGAAAAGAATGGTTTTAAAAATAATACAATGATATGAAATTGAAACAGCAATTACTTATCTTTGGTTTGTGTTAAAATGTTGGCAGAGTTTATTTTTTTTTTAATTGTTTCACCCCAAGGAAGGCAATAATGCCACTAGGACAAGGATATTACAGGAAATGAAAGAGAATGAAAAACTTTTAATGAGAAGAAATTAAAATAAAAGACAGGATTCAGGAAGACAGAAGATGGTGATTGATGTTGCATTTAAATTTTTGAAGATTGCAGATTGTAGGAAAACAAGAAATTCCAGGTTAGAAGTGAGTGAAAAGAAACTATTAGAATAGATCATACAATTGCATCTAGCTAAAATGGTGATAAAGTAAATCTAGTAGCATGACCTAAATTCATGGAATCTAGTAGCATTTAAGAACAGCTTCAGAACAATTGCCATGGAAATCAGGAAAAGACAAGAGGGTAGAAATGCTCATCAGAAACCAATTGCCAGGATAAATTACATTACAGACTCTTTTTGAATTTTGTCAAGAATCTCATTATTTATAGTAAAGCAGTAGACTAGATATGGCATCAGTATTCAATGCACAGATAAATGGTAGATTTATAAATGTGCAAAAAGGATTCTGACAAAAAGAATTGTCTGGCATGACACTGAACCAATTTTTGTAGCAGTAGATCTAGCAATTGATTCAATATAATCACTCCAATTCATGTCAGTGGAAAATGTGAGCCCAAGAATGCACAAACAGTTTCTGCCCCAAAGGTTAGCATGAGTTGCTGATGGCAGGTAGAAAAGGTTTCTCTGTGGTGATTAAATGAAAGCAGTTTTGTTTTGGAGGCATTAAAACTTACAACCATTCTTGTTCCAATTAACAACTGATTTGAGATCCTTTTTTCAAGAGAAGTTGCCAGTTTTACTTTGTTGGGTTGGTCAGAACTTGCTAAGACTGGAGTAATGGTTGTGTCATCTATATAAATACCTAGTTTGGAACTGATGACATGGAGAAAGTTGTTGTTGAAGATAAAACAACAATGCAGAGCCATGGGGACCCCTACATTAATATGAAATGATCTAGAAGCATGTCTGTTCAAAAAACAATTTCATTACAGGATTTATTAAGAACAACTGGATTAAGCCAAATATTCAGGCAAACAGATATCCTTTATATATTTAGGGATAAGGCCAGCTTGCCAAAAGCTTGATAGAAAATTCAGTGATGGATGTTAACATATTAGTGTTAGACCTGAAGAAACAGAAGTCATATTGTTTATTTGAATGGAGATTCTTAAATCTAAACCAATTCAAGAATATAAGATCTCTCTATTTTCATTTAATATTACAATTTTTATAGGGTTAGGCTAGGTGAGAGTCTTTCAGACATTTTGAATTGGTGACACAGTTTTTAAAAATAAAATTTTTAGTGACACTTTATTTAAGTTTTGTTAGCCAAGACAAATATGTAATTCCAAATTTATATAAAAAATAATTCATTGACAAATTTAATAAAGAATAAAATCCTAATGAATGACACTTAAATATTGTGAAACACTCCAGGTTAGGTACAAGGATTGATAGTTGACCACTGACTATTGGCAATGAGATGATGTATTTGCTGATAGGTGGTCATCTTTGATAAAGATCTTACTTTCAATGGAAATAAATTTAGAAAAATTAAGTATTAAATTTGATTATGTATTAAATTTGAATAAAATGGTTCTCTTGACAATCTCAGTCACAATAACGTGGCATTTGGGGAGGAAATTGTAAAACTTCGTTGACTATTAGCTATTTGCCAGTGGTATATGACAATGAATTAAACATTTTCTGATTTGGTAGGAGGTAATTCATAAAAAAAAACATTCTGAAAATGTAAAAAAAATTAATAGTAATTTAGTTTCCACTAACTAATTAATTCACTAGCTAAAATATAAATACAAATCTTTACAATTGCATCTTTTATTTATTCTGTGGCTAAAAATTTCCTTTTGATAATTTTCAACTTTTTTTATCATTATTAAAAGTATCATTTTATTTTATTTGTTATAGGCATATACATTGGTTGGTCTCACTAACACAGAATATCTCTTCCTTGGAATCTCCATCTTAAATATATTTGCAGTCCTAGGATTAACGATTTATCAGCTGGTAAATGTTATTGAAGTTAAAAATTACTTTGAAATAATCTTCACAGTCTTGATCATCTTTAATGCAGGTCAGTGTGTTTTCTTGTCATGTGCCTTTCTTTTCCTTTCTAATTGCCACAACTTCAACATAAGTTGTATATTAAATAAAAGTATCTTGTGATTACTTTCTTCCTACAAAATAGTTTTCAAAATAACCTTATTATGTATATAGAAGATAATGTAATGTCAGTTTTGGTTTTATCATGCTAACACTGTCAGATTTGATCATACACAATAAAAATGATACTAACCAACCAATTGATGGATTGATTTGTTTTTTATGGCTTATCAAACCTTTGTGGATTATTTAAGCCTGAAACATATTTTTGGATTGTAATAATATTTCTTTTTGTGAGTGAATATTGCATTAACAATTTATTGAGGACAACAGTGGTTTTTCCAGATACTAGTCCTACTATTGAACTCATAACTAGGAGGAGGTGATGTATTCATACCTTTCCCATAGGACTAAACATCAATTGCAAGAAGAGAGAATGTATGGTTATCAGTAAAAGGAACAACCCAAGATGTGAATAACATATTAGAGACACCAGATTCCAGCAAGTACAAAAATTTAAATATCTAGGATTTTTTTTTCAAATGGAGGACAGAAAATGACACCAAAATCAGAAAGGGTATTGGAATCATGAATGATGCCTTCCAAAAAACTAAGCAAAGTATTAAGAAACAGGAAAATTTCATTGAAAACAAAGATGTGTACTGAACTGCTATGGAATATCAATCCTCTGTTGTGGTAATGAATGCTGAATAATTTCCTTGTGGATGAAGAGAAAACTTGAGGCAACAGAGACGTGGTTCAACAGAAAGATGCTGAGAATACTATGGAGAAACAAGGCAGTTTAAAGGAAATGGAAACAAAAAAGACAATTCTACTTAGAATCAAAAAAGAAACAGTTGTAATTTCTAGGGCACATAATGAGGAAAGAAGGCTTGGAGAATTTGTCACTCACAAGACATTGTAGGGCAGTAAGAAACAGTAAGTATCATTCTTTACAAGCTTTTGTAAATGGATAACAGAACAGGAAGTGAGAGGTATAAGGAGATTCCTTTCTTTTTTATGTGCCGTGTCCTTTCAGGATGTTTTATCATGGCACTCCAACGCCCTCTATCCCTTGCAGCTCTCAACAAGTTTCTACCTCTGCTTCCTCCCCCAGACCATATTCTGTCATCCATTGCTTAAGCCTACCAGGTATGTCACATGTTTTTTCAATTGTCTCTCTTTCCCTCTATTCAACTCATGAGTATCAGATTCTCCAGGCCCTCCTTCCTCATTATGTGTCCCAGAAACTTCAGGTGCCTCTTCCTGATGTTGTAAGAAGTTGTGGAGAGTCATGATTACACAGCTGAAGGGACACTGCACAGGACATGTTGTCTTAGATTGTTTGGTTAATTGATCTAATCACAGAAAGGGAGCCATACTAAACACATGAAAAAAGCTTGTTCAAATTGTTTTTACTTTCAGTCAGTTGGTGAATGGGGTAAAAATACAGTCCATTTATTTAAAAACAAATATGATATTTTATTTTACAAGTAAAATAATGCTTTTGAAAAATAAGACAACGTGACTGCGACAGATTGCATAACTCATATGACATTTCAGTCACTGTGCATTTTTCCAAGTTCCATGAATGGCCTAGGTTGCTGAAAGATAGCTGTTTTTTTTTATCAATTGACTGATTGCCAACTAAAGCTAGAAAATCCAATCTCTCCTACTGTTTAACCCATAGGGTATTTGTGAGAAAGGAATGTAACAAACTCGGCAAGAATTTGAACTCGCACATCAATTTCTCTTTCCAAGCTGCTAACAACTACACTAACCAGATATTCATGTTTTCTGTTTAAATAATGAAATATGGAGGTAAAAATTAAAGAAATTATGATTATAAAAATTAATGAAGACAACACATCATATTTTGCCATCCATCATTTTTAATTTTTTTTTTCTTTTGTCTTAAAACTATTTCTACACTGAAGTGTGCGACTGACATCAAGCTGACCAATCAACCACTTTCTCTTCCCAGACATGGAAGCAGCACTAAACTAAGCAACGCTTTCCCCTGATCTGTATTCAGAATTAAAATATTCACAGCACATTGTAATTTCTGTTCAGTTAATATTCCACAGCAGCAGAGTAAAAAAACAATGAAAGACAGCACACGTCCTGGGTACCACTTATTTTGATCTGTTATGCTCAGAATGATGTTTTTAGATCTAATATTTCTAGGACGAATCCCTTAGAGTCATCTGTTATCCTTGGCTCCTGTTTAAATTGAATACTGAGAATTTTAAACATATTTTTAAGCATTATTACTTCTCTTCATTTGATGCAGTGTATGTTTGTTTTTTGTTTGTTACATTTGGTGCACCCAGGAACAACCGTCCCAATTTTTTTTGGAGCACTGCAATGAAAAAATAATAAAATATATAAGCAGTTAAGCTGACAAATAAGCATCATAACAAAAATTGATGAGTTCTGAAAAAAAAGATGAAAGACAATCTAAATGTAACAGTTATATTTTTTTTTTTATTTAGCCATTTCAACAGTAAAAGACCTTGTCGCCAATCTAATAGTTAAATTCATAAAGTCAAGTTAACACAGAGAAAAGTTCATCAAAACAATCACCATGAAAATATTTATAGAAAAGGCACAGGAAACTACATGACAGTGTTTTGAAAAGTGATTGAAGCCAATATGCCTGGTCAGGACCAATAACATTGCAGATTCTTCTTTGGATTTTTATCAAGAATCTCTAAATATATAGCAGGAACATCAGACCAGATGTGGCAGCAGTATTCAAAGCAAGGACAAAGGGTAAACTTATGAATATGTAAGATAGATTCTGTCAAAAAAACAGTCTAGCAAGAAATACAGTGAACCAACTTTCCTAGAAGCAGACCTAGAAATTAGTTCAATATAATCTTTCCACTTCAAATCAGAGGAAAACCTGAAAATCAAGTAAGTGCAATGCATCATGCTGATGGGAGGTAAAAAGGATTCTCAGATGATTAAAAATTCAGCAGATTAATTTTGGAGGCATTAAAATTAACACACCATTCCTTGCCCCAGTTAACAACAGAAAGTTGATCATTTTTAGATCAGCTGCTAATTTGACCTTATGAAACCAATCAGTAGTAAGAGTGGAATAAATGGTTGTGACTGCAGTATAGATACCAAGTTGAGAATTGATACCATCAGAAAGGTCATTGATTAAAATTAGAAACACCATTAGTCCATGGATAGAGCCCTGGAGGATGCCTACATTAATGCAAAAGGATCTTGAAGATAGAAATGAAAACAGAAAATCAACCACTGATTAAATAAAGAATTCTATACAACATTCCCAAAAGTTTATTAAAGTCAGATGAAGGCTAATGGGTACATTGACTGAAACATTATGAAAAGAAATTAAAAAACACAGATAATGTTAATTGTTCAACTAGTATTTCTCACATCTTAATTACAGTTGCTTTTTATTACAATTTTGAGACTGTCTTTCTACAGTTGTAAGCAACCCAGACTAGAAATAGAGAATAAACTTTTGTATGACTCCCATTCACATCCATGTTCCTTGAGAAGGCAACATCATAAGGTCAGAGAGACCTTCCAGCTGAAGTCATTTAAATCTATAATCATTCCTTATTTTTCTTGACCGACTTCATCTTTATTGACATACATAGTAGTATTAGTAAACTAAAAACCATTTCTATTTCTTGGATGAATCGTTGTAAATAATTCATTTATTTACTAGTATTTTTTTTAGTTTAATTTAAGACCAACGTGCTTTTGCAAAGCAACATGAAATGAGAAAGAATAAATAACTAATGAGAATAAAAATTATCAGACAAGTTAACGTCTACAGAATAAAACAATCCATTTTTATTATATCTTGCCTGATTAAATATTGGTTAACATGAATCAAGAAAATTTATGGCTGGAAAAAACATTGACTACATGGACTGTTGTCGAATAAGTTTTATCAGTTGATGAAAGTTGTTATCCAATGGCCTCTTCACAATCTTCAAGAACATAACTTGAAAGACAAATTATAACTTGGATTATAGGATTGAAAGAGATTAATAGCTTTATTTCAAAATATCCTCCTTATACTTATCAGTGTTGTGTCGGAAACCTACCACCCCTCTTGAAGATGAACTTGTCTGCATCTGTGAACAAAGACTTTAAATAGTGGCATTTCAGTTGACATGGGGGAAGACAGATAGACAGAGAAGTTCTTAGCTGAGCTAGTTATTGACTACTCAGGCGATTTCTGTACCTTTTACCAACCTATTAAAAACCTTTTTTATTGTTACGTGTTATTTAGCGTTTGTCTCTACTAACCCCAAATCAACATCATAACAGTGGCGACAAGAGATTTATTCATCACACTGAGTAGAGAAATTTTTCAACTCTAGGTGGACTATATAAATTTTTTTTCTTTCTCGCTCTGAAAACAAAGAATTGGAACAGCTTGAAAATTTAGGAGTTATTTCACGCATTGAATTTTCAGAATGGGCCTGCCCTGTTGTATATGTTAAGAAAAAAATAATAAAATTCGGATGTGTGCCGATTTCTCTACGGGTCTAAATGATTGCTTAAAAGACCACATATCCTTTGCCTTCACCAGAAGACATTTTTGCAAGTTTAAGTGGAGGAAAAATATTCTCTAAATTGGATTTATCGGATGCCTATCTCCAAGTGAAAGTGGACGAAGAATGTTCTAAATTGTTGACTATCAATACACACAAGGGTTTATACAAATTAAACCATCTGCCTTTTGGTTTAAAAGTATCCCCTAGTATTTTTCAGCAAATTATGGACACTGTGCTGGCAGGGTTGGACTTCGCCATTGCATATCTTGATGATATTTTGATAAAAAAGTAAAGATCGAAATGAACATTTGGAACATATTAATCAGGTTTTTTGAAAAATTGAAGAATATGGATTCAAACTTGGAGCTGAAAAATGTGAATTTTTATGAGTGAAATTAAGTTTTGGGGGCAGGTAATA